ATAATATGGACTTGGTCTTTAACCAAATAGGGCTATCTTCTGTATACCACCCCTACCTTGTCACAACACAACTGATTGGCTCAAACACTTTAAGAAGGAAATAAATTCCACAAATTCACTTTTAACAAGGCACACCTGTTAATTGAAATGCATTCCAGGTGACTACCTCATGAAGCTGGTTGAGAGAATGCCAAGGGTGTGCAAAGCTGACATCAAGGCAAAGGGTGGCTACTTTGAAGAATCTCAAATATAAAATATTTTTCATTGGTTACTACATGATTCCTTATGTGTTATTTCATGGTTTTGATTTCTTCACAATTATTCTGCAATGTAGAAAATAGTAAAAATAAAGAAAAACCCTGGAATGAGTAGGTGTGTCCAAACTTTTGACTGGTACTGTATACGTCACATAAACAGTGGCTTGCGAAAGTATTCACCCCCCTTCGCATTTTTCCTATTTTGTTGCCTTACAATCTGGAATTCAAATGGATTTTTGGGGGGTTTGTATCATTTGATTTACACAACATGCCTACCACTTTGAAGATGCAAAATATTTTTTATTGTGAAACAAACAAGAAATAAGAAAACTTGAGCGTGCATAAATATGCTTAGTGGTGTTGCAGTCTCTGGGGCCTTTCAGAACAGGTGTATATATACTGAGATCATGTGACAGATCATATGACACTTAGATTACACACAGGTGGACTTTATTTAACTAATTATGTGACTTCTGAAGGTAATTGGTTGCACCAGATCTTATTTAGGTGCTTCATAGCAAAGGGGGTGAATACACATGCACACACCACTTTTCCGTTATTTATTTTGTATAATTTTTTGAAACAAGTAATTTTTTTCATTTCACTTCACCAATTTTGACTATTTTGTGTATGTCCATTACAAGAAATCCAAATAAAAATCCATTTAAATTACTGGTTGTAATGCAACAAAATAGAAATAACGCCAAGGAGGATGAATACTTTAGCAAGGCACTGTATGTTGAAATATACAACATATAATCACTGGAAATTGATTTTAAATTATGGAATTAAAAGTTAAAGGAGAAGGATAGGCTACAACGACCAAGAGTCAATAGCTGCTGTTGGCAGACCGACACAACGGGAGACCTACACAATGACAAGAGCCAAAAGTAGTCCCCGGAAATGGAATACTACGTCACATATGTGCAGATAAGTGCACCACATCATTGCACTCTCTCTCACTCTCTCTGCTGTGTGTGCATCTTGCTAGCTGTCATTCAAATGGTGAGGGCCTGAAGCTCATTGGCTGAAACTGAAATTGCTAGAGGGGTGGCTCATGTGGGGGGAAATGTAGGGAAAATGGTGCAGCACAGCTTCCAGAATACAGTCTCTTTTAAACTAGGGTATTCATGGCTAATTAAAACAGTAATTCTGGTCATAGATTATGCATGTATGAATTACACATTGACATGTCCAGCCCAAAGTGGGAGGTTTAAACAATACTTACTAGTCACCAAAGTTAAGGAGCATGTCTTTAATATACATTTTTGCAGGGGTTGATACATTTTTCTTAAGGGAAAATCAAGTCAAATTTCAAAGTGGAAATTACAAACTTCAGAAGCCTTTGTAAACCTCATACACTACACGTTTTACATTTCCTGAATTGCAGGAAAGTTCTCCTGCAACAGGGTGATCCATTTAAGATCCTACATCTGCAGCTGCTTTACCTGTAGCTGCCATTAACCACAGTCTCCAAATCCACCAGTAAGAAGTTGTCTGTTGTTTCACCCATCACCATCTTTCCCTCCCTCGAACAGAAGGTCTTTCCTCCAAGAACACAAACCCGTATATTCTGAAGGGAGCATTAGAGTGAATGAACAAGACCAATGTGAGACGTTCCATCAATGTTATATCATCTCTGCATATTTAGTCATTTAATTGGACATGGAGTTTGGATTGACTAAATGTAACTCAGTTATGCCAAGTTACTGCCTGTGACTGTCACGATCGTTTACGGACGAGAAGGACCAAGGCGCAGCGTGATATGCATTCATATTTATTTACGGCTAAACACACGACAACGTGTAGTCGTGAACGTGAAGTCCAAGGTAGCATACAAACAACATACCTTACACGGAACAAGATCCCACAACTGACTGGTGCCAAAAGGCTGCCTAAGTATGGTCCCCAATCAGAGACAACGAGCTACAGCTGCCTCTGATTGGGAACCAACATAGTTCTACACATAATAGATATTCACCATAGAAATAAACACAACACAGAAACTACACACCCTGGCTCAACATTTAAGAGTCCCCAGAGCCAGGGCGTGACAGTGACAGACATATATTCAGGGGAATGATCTTGATAATACTCATGAAGAATGTTCCCAGCTCTCCTCAAACATGTCACAAGTCCCTGTTGACAGAAGTAACAAATAGCTCTGAGTGAGTTATGGTATACAGTGCCAAGTATTGAGACCCCTTGACCTGAGGACATTTTCTTACGTTACAGCCTTATTCTAAAATGGATAAAATAAAAACATGTCCTCATCAATCTTCACACAATACCCCATAATGACAAAGCGAAAACAGCTTTTTAGATATGTTTGCACATTTATTAGAAATAAAAAACAGAAATAATGTATTTACATAAGTATTCAGACCCATCGCTATGAGACTCGAAATTGAGCTCAGGTGCATCCTGTTTCCATTGATCATCCTTGAGATGTTTCTACAACTTGATACCACCTGTGGTAAATTCAATTTGGTCAGGGAGGTGACCAATAACCTGATAATCACTCTGACAGAGCTCCAGAGCTCCTCTGTGGAGATGGTTGAAGGACAACCATCTCTGCAGCACTCCACCAAATCAGGCCTTAATGGTAGAGTGGCCAGACGGAAGCCACTCCTCAGTAAATGGCACGACAGCCCACTTGGAGTTTGCCAAAAGGCACCTAAAGGACTCTCAGACCATGAGAAACAAGATTCTCTGATCTGATGAAACCAAAATTGAACTCTATGGCCTGAATGCCAAGCGTCACGTCTGTAGGAAACCTGGCACCATCCCTACGGTGAAGCATGGTGGTGGCAGCATCATGCTGTGGGAATGCTTTTCAGTGGCAGGGACTGGGAGACTAGTCAGGATTGAGGGAAAGATTAACGGGGCCATGTACAGAGAGATCCTTCATGAAAACCTGCTCCAGAGCGCTCAGGATCTCAGACTTGGGCAAAGGTTCACCTTCCAACAGGACAACGACCCTAAGCACACAGCCAAGACAACGCAGGAATGACTTCGGGACAAGTCTCTGAATGTCCTTGGGTGGCCCGGACTTGAACCCGATCGAACATCTTTGGAGAAACCTGAAAATAGCTGTGCAGCAACGCTCCCCATCTAACCTGACAGAGCTTGAGAGGATCTGCAAAGAAGAATGGGAGAAACTCCCCAAATACAGGTGTGCCAAGATTGTAGCGTCATACCCAAGAAGACTTGAGGCTGTAATCGCTGTCAAAAGTGCTTCAACAAAGTACTGAGTAAAGGGTCTGAATACTTATGTAAATGTGATATTTGCAACAAAAAACAACAATTTAATCAATTTTAGAATAAGGCTGTGACGTAACAAAATGTGGAAAAAGTCAAGAGGTCTGAATACTTTCTGAATGCACTGTATAATCACTATACAATAGATTTAACCACTAAAAACTATGAAAATATACAGTATATGGAAATAATGACCTTTATGATAGAAGAGAGACATATCCTCAAACATGCCTGATTACCGCCAACTGGTTACAGATTATTTTATTTCCCCCCTCCCCTTCTTGTACAACCCCTCCCTCCCCCTCACCGTCCTCCTGGTCAAAATGTTCACATTGCCTCTCTCTCTGCTCCAAGCATTTTGCACTGATGACGGACCCTCCAGTCTCTCACAGCAATGATCAGGTCACGACCCTGTCTCTGCGAGATAATCTACACCTCTTACCCTGAAAGTGCACAGCTGACAACTTTCAAATCCACATGTCAACTTGTTTTCCAACTTGTAGATTCTGTGTGGCTATCTTATTCCACAATAAAGCCTTTTTGGGCGTCTCCCTACAGAGAGTGTATGTAATATTTCCATCCTTACTGTATCTATTATGTGGTAATGAAAGAGAACCTTTTCATTCACTTCATAGCTGACTTCTGAGATTGTCCTCCGACCGGTCCAACCAGACGGCCAGGTCTGTAAGCCGCAGGAGCAGGACTGGAGTCAGACTCTTCCTGTCCTAGTAAAGCCTCGCTGGGGGCAGTCCTCTGTCTCCCCTGAAACCTGCTTTTGACTCTCGTCCAATTTCCAACATCCGTCCTCAAAATTATGTTATGAGATGTGGATTGTTACTGAGGGTAACTTTTATTTAGATATTGATGCTATATGACATTACCAATACAGTAAGATAATGTAATGTGGTGACTTACTATGACTGCCCCTTCACAGGAGTGTCTCTGAAATTGAAAGAACATAAATGGCACAGCCTACTGGGCTTTTAATAGTGTGGCATGCTGGAGCTCCACAATGGGCATGTGCTGTGGAGTATTACACATGAATATAAACAAGCTTTCACAGGGGAATTAAATGCACGACAGCCACTCTCCAGTTAATTACATGTCTTGAGGCATGTCTTGCTGATCATGAGGAAGATTTTATGCAAACAAATACTTCATCACAGAAATTACTGAATTTACCCAAACTGCAGCAATATTGTCTACAGTAAAGAATATTCTATAAAATGAAAACTCAGTTTGAAAGTATGTCACAGATACAGTAATAGTACTGTGTGTACACAATACATATGTACGTTTAATACAGATAAAATAAAGACCTCTCTTTCATTGTACATTGTGTCTCTGTTGTTCAATACACTTTAGAAACAAAAGTGGTATCTAGAACATAAAAGGGTCTTCGGCTGTCCCCATAGGAAAACCCTTTGAAGAACCCCTTTTGGTTCCAGGTAGAACCCTTTTGGGTTCCACGTAGAACCTATTCCACAAAGGGTTCTACCTGGAACCAAAAAGGGTTCTACATGGAACCAAAAAGTGTTTTCCTATGGGGACAGCTGAAGACAGCTGAAGACCCTTTTGGAACCCTGTTTCTAAGAGTGTACAGTCAAGTGATAATAGACTAACAATACCAAGTAATACTGAATAATGCTGCTTATTGCACTCATGTCTGTCTTGGTTCACTGCCTCTTGCGCAGGTGCACATACAGGACTCCACTGAAGAGAAGGAGCGGTACACAGGACCAGGCCAGGATGAAGCAGAAGCCAAAGTGGCCAATGCTCAGGTCTCTGGAGTCCTCCAGGATCTTCTTACGGTGGAATGTGTAGATGAGACAGGTGGCAAATGATGTGAAACCTGGTAGAGCAGAGCAGAGAGGGGACAGGGAGGGTAAATTATCTTTAGAGAATAAATGTGTGTGAATCAATAACCAAAATGAACAGAGAACTTCTCTATGTTAAAGATAAAACCTTGCGGCCTCCCGAGTGGCACAGCAGTCTAAGGCACTGCATCACAGTGCTTGAGGCGTCACTACAGACCCGGGTTAGATCCCAGGCTGTGTCACAACCGGCTGTGACCGGGAGACCCATAGGGCAGCGCACAAATGGCCCAGCGTTGTCCGGGTTAGGGAAGGGTTTGGCTCATTGTGCTCTTGCGACTCCTTGTGGCGGTCCGGATGCCTGCAGGCTGACTTCGGTCGTCAGTTTAACAGTGTTTCCTCCAACACATTAGTGCGGCTGGGTTAAGAAGCGCGGTTTGGAGGGTCATGTTTCGGAGGACGCATGACTATACCTTCGCCTCTCCCGATCCTGTTGGGGGAGTTGCAGCGATGAGACAAGATCGCAATTGGATATCACGAAATTGGGGAGAAAATGGGGGTAAAATACTACAATAAAAAATACTCATAAATAAAGATAAAACCTCACAAATAGTATACAGTAAATACACACATGAAAGAACAGGGTGTCATAAACTGGTAAATTCTTGTCCAGTACAGTACCTGCAAAGACCTGACAGAGGCCTGTGAAATAGAAGAGCCCTCCTTTAGACATGGTGAAGAGCTGACCCAGGAAGACCAGGAAGGAGATAGAGGAAAAGACTACTGAGAGGACCATCAGGGACTGGACTGCCTGCAGCCAGTCTGGGGGAACAAGAGAGGAACAATGAGACTCCATGTCATTGGGACCAACACACATACACATTGAATAGGACTATATTGAAAATACAAAAACATGCACATGACCATATATAGGCATAAACAGACATAATAATCCAAGGTTATAAAAAGAGACATCCTCAATCCAAGTAGACTAGATATCATAAAAATAACAGAACATAATTTTCCATTTGATTTACCATTTCCATTAGAGGCAGCACACAGCCAGTTTCCCGTTATGTTGTCATGAATGCAGTTAGACCAGAGGTCTGTGATCTCAGCATCGGCCCAGACCCACCAGGACTAGAGAGAGACAGGTTTAGTTCAGTAGGCAGGTTCTGTGTGCATGGCAGTCTGACGAAACCATAACCTGGGTATCCACTTTGGGATTCCATCAGAGCTTTCGAAGTGATAAAATATCCATAAATCTAATTACTGCATATTCTATAAGGTCACGCTGGGGTTTTCTTAAGCACCATAATGCTATCAGTATGTTGATATTCAACATGGTTGTGGTTTCTCTTCTCAGACTTTGATATTAACTACATAAGCCAGGAAACGGAGTGCCGCAGAGTCGGATTCTGATTGGCTAACAGTGGAAAGTGTCTCACCTTCTCCATGGTGGCGATGAACAGCATGGCCAGAGTGAACAGATGAAGCACAGTCACAGACATGAGCAGAAGAACCATGATGGCTGGGAGCTTCCACTGAGGCCACATCCAGAGATCCTGGACACAGACAGAGTCTTGAGAAAGTGGCCTGAAACACTGCTCTCTCTCTCTCTCTCTCGATAAGTGGAGAGAGAAGCGAGATAGGAGAGAGAGAGAGAGAGGAGAGAGAGAGAGAGAGCATGCTAGAGATCATCGAGAGAGATCTAGATCAGATAGAGAGATAGTATGCAGTCGCGCTCTCGATATCGAGTCTCTCTAAGCTCTTCTCTCTCTATCCTCTTCTCTTACTCTCTCTCTCTCTCTCTCTCTCTCTCTCTCTCTCTCTCAGGGGACAACATGTACACTTTCATCATGCTCTTCAACATCTGTCTGCAGTGACTATCTCTCTCTGCCCATCTATCAACCCACAACAGGCATCTCTGCCAGGGGAATTTCACTCTATCTACACAGCCAGGATTGCCTCTGAAGAACATAGCAGAGCTCCTGTCTCTTGTCTGAAACCCCTGTCTGCTGCTACTATTATCATAACTGTTATCATTTCAATCAGGCTAGAAACATGTATGTAGACATGTGTTTCTTTCCTGTGAGTCTTTGCACATGTATACAGAAGTTTAGAAGCAATGCAGGACAAGATTATATCCTATCCTCGTACTGAATGAGGTTTAACATTTTGTTTTAAATCATATCATATGCATTTCTTTTCAACAACAAATGGCTGGAATAAGAGGATTTCTTTAGAGTTATGAATGGATTCAATACATTTTCCAGACTCCTCTAGTTTGCCTATTCATGCTGTTATTGGGCTCCCGAGTGGCGCAGTGGTCTAAGGCACTGCATCTCAGTGCTTGAGGCGTCACTACAGACCCCCTGGTTCAATTCCAGGCTGTATCACAACCGGCCATGATTGGGAGTCCCATAGGGCGGCGCACAATTGGCCCAGCGTCGTCCGGGTTTGGAAGGTGTAGGCCAACATTGTAAATAAGAATTTGTTCTTAACTGACTTGCCTAGTTAAATAAAATAAAATAAAATGGTGGGTTTGATTTCCGCTGGGGCCACCCACTTGTGAAATGTTTGCACACATGACTGTAAGTCACTTTGGATAAAAGCATCTGCTAAATGGCATTTATTATTATATCATATTCCGTTCCAGAATAGGGCAGACTGTGCACTGTTCTTCTGCTGTCTAAATTCAAACACACAACTCAATTTTCCCCTGCGTGAAACAACGAGAGTGAGATTTGTTTCCATTAGATGTATAATGACTATTCTAAAAGGTATGTGTCTCATCACATTCTTCATCTGGTTTGCATTAGGCTTTTTCACAGATGAGAAACTGTACTGTTTGTGGTACCTGGTACGAATAGGAGCAAACATGATGATTGAGCGTAGTAGGAGGGAGAACTCTTGAGTGACAACATACATTGACTCTAAAAACATTGCACTCTAGATTGAGAATAACAATCTTATTTACTTTCACTGATTCTCAAATGATCTATTTCAAAACACACATAATATTGTTGGTATACAGTATGGCATATTTGCGTGTCTTGAATTCCATACACACTGGTAATTCCAAACCATAAAAAATATTTCAATCCTCTAGATGACATTGTACCCAAAGCTTTATGAGTAATTCCAAGTAATTTTCAAGTCTTTGATATTGCGACTTACCTTAGATACAAATGTCAGTTCCTGGGGAACTATGACTGGTTCTGTAACCCTCAGTACCCCTCTCTCCTCTGCCGCTCCCCTGCTTTTCTCACAGATGCCACTCCTCCCCCTTTACTCTTCCTCTACTCCCACACAATCTCCAAAACTGAGATAAAGACAGGGGTTGGAATGCAGAGAGGGATATAAGGAGAGTTCTCAACATCTATTTCCTCTGCCCTCCCCCAAAGTCTACAGTCTGGACAATGGACAAAAAATTACTATTGACAATCCACTGGACTGGACCCGCCCAAAGTCAGAAACAGAATCAACCACATGAAAAACGACATGTTGTAAACATTACATTTGAAATCTGCAAAGAAAAAGCCATATCTCAGACTGGCCAATAAAAAGAAAATATAAAAATGGGCAGTCTGAGATATGGCTTTGTCTTTGCAACTCTGCCTAGAAGGTCAACATCCCGGAGTCGCCTCTTCACTGTTGACGTTGAGACTGGTGTTTTGCAGGTACTATTTAATGAAGCTGCCAGTTGAGGACCTGTGAGGCGTCTGTTTCTCAAACTAGACACTCTAATGTATTTGTCCTCTTGCTCAGTTGTGCACCGGGGCCTCCCACTCCTCTTTCTATTCTGGTTCGAGCCAGTTTGCGCTGTTCTGTGAAGGGAGTAGTACACAGCGTTGTACGAGAGCTTCAGTTTCTTGGCAATTTCTCGCATGGAATAGCCTTCATTTCTCAGAACAAGAATAGACTAATGTGTTCCAGAAGAAAGTAATTTGTTTCTCGCTATTTTGATTCTGTAATCGAACCCACAATTGCTGATGCTCCAGATATTCAACTAATCTCAAGAAGGCCAGTTTTTTTGCTTCTTTAATCAGCACAACAGTTTTCAGCTGTGCTACCATAATTGCAAAATGGTTTTCGAATGATCAATTAGCCTTTTAAAATGATAAACTTGGATTAGCAAACAGAACGTGCCATTTGAACACAGGACTGATGGTTGCTGATAATGGGCCTCTGTACACCTATGTAGATATTCCATAAAAAAATCAGCCATTTCCAGATACAATAGCCATTTACAACATTAACAATGTCTACACTGTATTTCTAATCAATTTGATGTTATTTTAATGGACAAACATTTTGCTTTTCTTTCGAAAACAAGGACATTTCTAAGTGACCCCAAACTTTTGATGGCATGGTATACATACAGCACATCTGGGAATCATTACTACCTCATTTTAGACCAGTTCCATAACCCTACAGAAAATTGAAAGAGTAGAAATCTACACTGAACAAAAATATAAACGCAACATGTAAAGTGTTGGTCCCATGTTTCAAGAGCTTAAATAAAACATTCCAGACATTTTCCATATGCACAAAACCCTTATTTCTCTAAAATGTTTTGCACCAATTTGTTTACATCCATGTTAGTCAACATTTCTCCTTTGCCAAGACAATCTATCCACTTGAAAAGTGTGCCACATCAAGAAGCTGATTAAACAGCATGATCAATACACAGGTGCACCTTGTGTTGGGGACAATAACATTTGGCAGTACGTCCAACCGACCTCACAACCGCAGACCATGTGTATGGCGTTGTGTGGGCGAGCGGTTTGCTGATGTCAACATTGTGAACAGAGTGCCCCGTGGTGGTGAGGTTATGGTTTGGGCAGGCATAAGCTACAGACAACGAATGCAATTGCATTTTATCGATGGCAATTTTAATGCACAGAGATACCGTGACGAGATCCTGAGGCCCATTGTCCTGCCGCTATCACCTCATGTTTCAGCATGATAATGCACAGCCCCATGTCGCAAGGATGTGTACATAATTCCTGGAAGCTGAAAACTTGAACTGAACCATGAACTGCATACTCACCAGACATGTCACCCATTGAGCATGTTTGGGATGCTCACACAGCGATTGAAGAGGAGTGGGACAACAGCCCACATTCTACAGTCCACAATCAACACCCTGATCAATTCTATGCGAAGGAGAGGTGTCACGCTGCATGAGGCAAATGGTGGTCACACCAGATACTGACTGGTTTCCTGATCCACGCCCCAACCTATTTTGTGACCAACAGATGCATATCTGTATTCCCAATCATGTGAAATCCATAGATTAGGGCCTAATGAATTTATTTCAATTGACTGATTTCCTTATATGAACTGTAACTCAGGAAAATCTTTGAAATTGTTGCATGTTGCAATTATATTTTGTGGATTGTCCATTTTGAGCTCAAAACCCACACTCCCTCGCAGAGACTGAGCACGGTCTTAACATTCACTTTCCACTCATTACTGTCAGATTAACATACATTATTATTCCATTTGTCAACAGAAAATTACCACATTTATTTTGCAGAGTTGTATCCAAGATCACACTATTGTTGAGTAGTAGAGAAGCAGTTTAAAGTGATCCATGACTTTGATCTAGGGGCGCCTGTGTGGGAATGTGGAAGATGTACTGTATAACTCATTGTGTCAGTCTGACAGTCATTGGTCTGATCAGTCGGTAGTACAGTACAGTAGGCTACTGTTGCCGTCAACGGGAGGAAATTACTTCTCATTAGAGACCACTTTTGAGTTCTAGTGAATGGGAAAACTTAGACCACCCAAGAAACCTCAAAAAGTTAAAACACAAACCAAAATATTTTCACAACACAAAATGTGTTTTATTTGAAAGTAAAGCCAATCTGACAAATAAGAATAAATTAATCTAAAAAGAAACCAAATATATATTTTCCCATAAAGTGCACTTAAACTTTAACAGTGCTGCCTTGATGAAATTCAATTCCATTAAACTGATCATTGATGTTTATTTTTTATATATTGTGACGAGTACTGAGTATACAAAGAGGCAGGACGAAGACATTAACAAGGTCAAGGTTTACTTAACAATGACAAAGATAGCGTAAACGACACGAAGCTAAACAATCACACACGTCATCCAGAACTAAATAGGGGTGGTGATGAGATGAGGTGCAGGTGCGCTGGAGGTGATTATGTTGCATTGGGTTTCCATTCCGGTGTTGCGCCCAGACCGGTGGCTCAGTAGACCGGCGAATCAGAGCAACGTAACAGTACCCCCCAGCCGCTGGACGTCAACGGCCAGGACGACAACCCCGAGAACGTTGGGGTCCAGAACGTCACCTGCCGGAACCCAGCTCCTCTCCTCAGGACCATACCCCTCCCAGTCCACCAGGTAATGGAGCCGTCCCCCACGGAACCAGCAGGTCAATGTCCAGTGGCGGAGGAGGCTTCCCCCGGGGGACGGCATCCACCAGAGGACCAGGAACCACCGGCCTGAGGAGAGACACATGAAAAGTGGGTGAGACATGGTAGTGAGGGGGAAGGAGCAGCCGGTATGATGCCTAATTTATCCGCCAGAGGACCTTAAAACGGCCCCACAAACTGGGATCTCCGTTTCTTGCAGGGCAAATGGAGAGGGAGGGTTTTTGTGGACAGCCAGACAATCCCCAGGTTGGAATACAGGGAGGAGTGAACGAGGGAGTTCTGGGCATATTCTGCCCAGGGAAGAAACCTCGCCCACTCACCCTGCCGGTCCTGACAGTGGCAACGAAGAAACCTCCCCAGCTCCTGGTTCATGCGCTCCACCTGCCCATTCGACTGAGGCCTATACCCGGAAGTGAGGCTGGCCATGACCCAATCTTCTCCAGGAAAGCCTTCCACACTCAGGAGGTGAATTGGGGGCCATAGTCCGAGACAATGTCCTCTGGAGGTCTATGATGCCGGAAGACCTGTTGGAACAGGACCTCAGTGACCTGGAGAGCAGAAGGAAGACCAGTTAGTGGCAAAAAATGGCGTCAGAACGTGGAAGGTCGGTGACAAAGTCTATGGACAGGTGTGACCAAGGTTGCTGAGGCACTGGGAGAGGAACTAGTTTGCCTGCCGGGGCGTTCCGAGGGGTCTTCATTTGGGCACATACGGAACAGGAGTTGACGTAGCGGGAGACATCAGAAGCCAAGGTGGGCCACCAGTATTTTGGGGCTAGAGAAGGCAGGGTGCGCGTAATACCAGAGTACCCTGCCGTAAGGGTGGTGTGCGCCCAGATCAGCAGGCGGTCACGGACACTGGTGGGTACATACACGCGCCCCGGAGGGGCGTTGACAGGCGCCACATCCCAAATGACAGGAGCAATGATGAGAGACGAGGGCAGGATAGGACCCCCCAGATCCTTCCTTTCTCCGGTATGGTGCATCCTGGAGAGTGCGTCGGCCTTCACATTCTGGGATCCTGGGTGGTAGGACAGAATGGATTGGAAGCGATTGAGAAATTGGGCCCACCTGGCTTGACGAGAGTTCATCCGTGTCGCTGCCCGTATGTGCTCCATATTCCGGAGGCCAGTAAGAATCTGGAATGGATGGACTGCGCCCTCCAGCCAGTCTTTCCATTCCTCCAGAGCGAGGACCTCCGCCAACAGCTCCCTGTCTCCAACGCCATAGTTCCTCTCTGCAGGGGTAAGCTTTCTAGAGAAAAAGGCACAGGGATACATTTTCTCTTGCTTACCGTGCCGCTGGGAGAGGACCGCCCCCACGCCCTCCTCCGATGCTTCCACCTCCAGGATGAAAGGACGAGATGGATCTGGGTGTTTTAGGATGGGCGCTGTGGTGAACCTCTCCTTCAGCCTCTTGAAGGCAGCGTCAGCCTCAGGGTTCCAGGCCAGCTTCTGAGGCCCACCCTTAAGGAGAGGTGAGCAGGGCAGCTATGGAGCTGAAGGGCCTGATGAAACGCCAGTAGAAATTAGCGAAGCCCAGGAAGCTCTGTAGGCCCTTGATGGTGGTGGGAACTGGCCATGACCTGACGGCATCCATCTTCACCCTTTCCATGAACACTCCCTGAGGACTGATCCGGTGGAGTAGGACAGCTCGGACGTCCCTGACGTGCTCCTTGAACGTAACCGAGTAGATCAGGATATCGTAAATGTACACCACCTGTCTACTCAGCATGTCCCGGAAACATGTCATTGACGAAGGACTGACACGTGGCCTTTAATGAAGAGAAGACGTCGGAGAGATGTGCGTACTCACGTGGAATGTTGGGC